ACAGTTGAAAAAATGTTTTTAAACTAGGTTTCCTTCCATTCCAAAATAAATGTTTTAAATGTATTTCTTTATATTTGAATTTATTTTCAGATGAAACCAAAATGAATATTTTCCCATATGGTTTTTCTAAGATTGTCAGTGAATCAATGAACTACAATTCTACCAAATCTATTCCCATGTAGCTTTGTACTCTTGGATAAAAGTCAAAACACAGTTTCTAATGTTAAGTATTGCATTTTAACAAGGATGAAGATAAGTTGGAGAGGGTCCAGAGACAAGAATTTGATAATGTGGTAGGAATTCAAACCATAAAAGGTAGGAATGAAGGAACTAGCTATGCTTATGTGACACGCTATGGTACTGTTCATAATATCTTGAGTTTAAATGTGTTCATGTTGTAATTATATTGCTTAACTCCATTTCTCTGATAAGCTTGAACAAAAGATAATAGTATTGGTATTTTGAAACTGATCTGTGGCCTGGCTGCTGTCTGGTTGTTATTGACCAATAAATGTTGTTTTGTGTATGAAGAGCTGCTTGTTTTACTGTGGGCGCTGACAGAAGCGACATTTGTCATGCACTTGCCCCCTTGAAAGCACTCTACAGCCATGCCCTGACAGAAGTGCACAGCTGCAGACTGCTTTAAAAGTGCCCAGTCATGCTTCAAAATGGAGCACCTTCATTAACTTCTGTCTGATTGGGGCTGGGCTGATACAACCCAGTCCTGTCCCCCAGGTGCTGTCTTCAGGATGGGAGGGGGAGAAGGAAGGGGAGGAGAGGAAACCCACCCACTCTCACTCCCACTCCAGTGCAGTTTGGACAAACCCCAGCCCAAGCTCCCTCCCCTCCCTTCTCCGATTCCAATCCTGCAGACAGTATCAGAGCTGGGGAGGAGGGGGGCAGGGCTAAGGGAAAGAAGCTGCAGACGTGCAGCTCCTCCCTGATCAGTTCCAAAGTGGAGCTTGATCCCTCACCCTCCCAAACCAACAGTGAACCTTTCTTGAGTGTCTGTGTGTGGGGGGTGTTCACTGTAACTCATGGCACTTTTTGTAAAGCACCATGAGTTACAGCAGGAAGCTGCACATCTGTCAACAAAGTTATTGCATATATCTTGTGTTGGCTTGGTATTTAAAGGTTTTTAAATATAAGGGTTTCAAGAATGGTATTTAAAGGTTTGCTTTTGGGGAATTGACTTATAGGTGTGTGTATATATATATACACACATACATTCAAATGGTTCAGGTTTGGAAGCAGGGGTTAATTGATTTTTAGGAGCCTACACATACAGAGTTTCACACAGCCTTTGAAGCAGACAGGCTGTCTAACACAACAAGGCCAACAGACAAGCACAGTCTGGGAAAATGGGGCCATGTGCCACTCTGTTCCATAACATGAGATAAGGTGGCACCAGCTAACAAGGCCCCAGAGCAGGGGGAGGCCGAGTCCTGTTTTTGAGGGAACAGACCAAATTGGAAGGCCCAGAAAGACCAAATTAGTATGTGTGCATGTGATAAGCTTCATGGACATGTGACAAATACAGAGAGAAACCAAGCAGTGATAGCCATAGATGACGAGTCAACAGGCATCATCAGGAGGGAAGGAGAATACAAAAGAAGGACTTTGAAGCAGCAAAGGGGCCCTCCCCATCCTGCCCTGGTCCTCCTCCTCTCCAAGGGGGGTTCCTGTCCCCCAGAAGCATCCCCGAGGCCACCATGGACAGAAGGTATACTACCATCCCATCTCATCCACCACACTGCGGGGTGGGGAGGGGGTGGCTTTGGCATCCCACCTCCAGGCTGATGACATGCTGACATCTGACATGTAAGAGAGCCTCAGAGTGTATCCTGCATCTTGGCCAGATGTACTTTGGCTCTGATGACAGTCCTAGGATTTGGTAGATACATAGAATTGCTTGAATGTTCGTATTGGTTGTTTTTTTCTTTTATCACTGTGTGATGGGCTAGCTGGTAATGATTTGGCCCAGGGGTTTTGACAGTGCAAGAGATGATTGGAGGACTTGGGATTCCCTTTCCTCACCAATCAGACCCCAGAGACTCACCCTCCATGTCCCCTGTTTGGCCTCTTGGGACATCTGGAGGGGGATAAAAGGGGCAGCGCAGCTCTCTCAAGAGAGAGCAGCAAGGGACCACAAGGAAGGAGTTTCAAAGACCTGGCAAGAGCTGTGCCAGCGGGGCAGGAGCAGTTGCCCCAGAAGAAACTGAAGGAGTGGGACCTGCAAGCAGCAGTAGGACCCTCAGCAGCACGGTGTGCGGCTGGCAAGACAGGCTCCCCACCTGGGCTCCAGGATCCCTCTAGGAGAGGCTGCAGCCAGCAGGAGAGGTTCCCCAGCTCCAACAAGAGGCCAGGAAACTCAACATCAGGCAGGGACTGCTGGAAGGTCAAAACCCCTAGCAGCTAGGAGTAGTGCTAGCACTGGTGGCTGTGTGGTAGTGTTTCTGTTTACTACATAAGAGATCTCAGTTCACAGCCCAGCTGGGGTGAGTGAAATAACAGGCAGATGTTCTTGTTGCAGTGGAAGGGGTTCATTGTGTTTTCCCTCTTTCCTCCCTCCAGGGACCTTGGCTCTATATTTCTTGTTATTTGACATGTTGTATTTTGCGCATTTTAAATTTCCCCAACCAGTATTGTTTGTTCTGCTGTTTGTGTTTTATATTTTGTTAAATCTGTCTTTTGTCAACTGGAAGAATATGTGTATAATTGTAAGTGCCTAACCTTTATTGAATCCTGCCCCCTTGGGGTGTCGTAGTGTCCCCTATACCCCCTGGTTTCTACATGTTATGTTCCCACTACTGTTTTCTCATTAGAAGGTATATGGTTAAGTCCCCATTGGTGGTCTGGCTCTGCTCTATAGGGGAAGGAGGGTCCCTACACATCCCATAGCACTTGTGCATCTGCTCTGATCCCTTCAATTGGAGAGGGGGTACATCTTGGAGTACCGCCCGGGTTACAACTGTGTATCAATAACTTTGCCTATTATCAAATGGAAAGGTCCCGCTCAGACTGAGGGTGGGTCCCTCTGGGTACTAAATCCAGAGCCAGCATCTTGGGGCAGACTTCATCCCCCTGAAGAGGTAAAGTTCCTCCTTAGAGCTAAGCCAAGAGGTTGTTCTCTAAGGGGACCACGGAAAACCAGAGGAGACCAAAAGACTGGGTCTCAGAGTCCGAAGAATTATTGTGTCATACTCTCTAGAAGTTATGCCTGGGCTAGCTTCAAGGGGCACACCAAGAGACTATTAGCCTGGGGGTCCCAAGCAAGTGTTCTTCTGAGGAATCTGTGACATCTTAGTCTGGAGCAGTGATTTTCAACCAGGGTGCCATGCAACATTAGCCATGTTAGGAGTGGAAATATGATTCACAAGACAAACCCAGAAATTTTAAATAGGAAACCATCATGTTAAAAACATTTTGATCTGTTGTGGCTTTTCTGAGTTCTTTGCAACAGAAGACTTGTTCTAGTATTTTTGTCAAAAATCAAGCGAAAGCTAAGAGATGACATTTTCTGAGGTGTACCATTAGTCTATCAAAGGGTGCCTCAAATCTTAAAAAGGTTGAGAACCACTGGGTTGGATAAAAAAAATAAAAGATCATTAATTAAAATTCAGGAGAGGGTTCAGAGGAAGGCCACCCGCTTGGTGAGAGGGCAGTAGGACAGGCCCTACGAGGAGAGACTGAAGGACCTGAACCTGTTCAGCCTCATCAAGAGGAGGCTGAGGGGGGACCTGGTGGCTGCCTACAAGCTCATTAGGGGGGATCAACAGCAAATAGGCAGAGCCCTTTTCTCCCCAGCACCACCTGGGGTGACGAGGAACAATGGTAATAAGCTGATGGAGAATAGGTTTAGGTTAGAGATCAGAAGGCAATATTTTACAGCTAAGGTGGCCAAAATCTGGAACCAACTTCCCAGGGAAGTGGTCCTCGCCCCTACCTTGGGCAAATTCAAGAGAAGGTTGGATGATCACCTGTCTGGGGTCTTGTGAACCCAGCATTCATTCCTGCCTGTGCCAGGGGGTCAGGCTAGATGATCTGTTCAGGTCCCTCCTGACCCTAGCTACTATGAAACTATGAAACATAATAATAATATTTATATAGGTTGTCATAGAGAGGATGAAAAAATGACTCTCTTTTTTTGCCTCATAGGGCAGAACACAGGATAGTAGATTTGAAACAAAGCAAAGAAAATTAAAATTAAAAATGAATTTAAATGAACTCTAAATTAACCCTCCTAACTCTAAAAACACTATAACACTGGAACAAGCTTCCCAGGAAAGTTTCAGTGAGTCCTAGATAGGTATTGTGCAGGGGGGCTTGGATTAGAGCTTGAGGTCCCTGCTAAACATATAAATCTATGATTCTAGATGTAGTTTCTATTCTTGGACTTGCTGAGAAAGAACCTTCTCTTCCCCATTTCTAAGAATGATGGTGCTGACTCTCACAAAACATGTAGAGAAGAGATGTGTGTCATTGCTGCGTGGGAGCCCAGAAAGCATGCTGATGGTTGCTGCAGAACAGTGATTCTCAACCAGGGTGCTGCAGTACCTTGGGGTGCTGTGTAGTCATTTGAAGTGTGCTGTGGGTTACTGCAAATATTAGAGCTGTTAGGCACACAAACAGCTATGTATGATTCACAAGATAAACCCCGATATTTCCAATAGGAATCTAGGATCAAAACCATTTGGACCTGTTGTGGTCCATAAGCTCTTTGCAATGAAAGAATTACTTTTTTTTTTTCCCATTTTCCAACAACCATGTGTAAGCTAAGCATTTTCTGAGGGGTGCCTTGAGTCTAATGAGGGGGAGCATTGAATCTAAAAAAGTTGAGAATCACTGCTGTAGAAGAACATAAGTATGGTACATGGTGTTTAAGGGCTAAAGTAAAGCAATTTCTAGTCCCTGAACTGTACTGTTTTATACATCTCTTGCAGCAAGCACACAGTAACGGACAAAACACTGTGGTCAGCAGTTCTCAGGAAATACTGCATTTCCTCCATGCCAGTGTACAGTCCATCTCAGCACATATGGTCTTATCAAAAGACAGGGGGAGTGAACGCACATTGCCCAGCATGTTCAGCAGAGCACAAGGACCTTGTTTCTTTTGGGAGAATTAAGAGCCCAATTCCAAACTCCAAGGATTCAGGCCATCATGGAACGCACTGTCCTCTTGCCTCTGCTAGGTAAGTGAGTTCCTTTCATTTTTCTTTTGTTCATTCTTTTGTTTTTTTAATCAACCTCATCCAATTCCAAGGTGTAGAAGCATGCTCTCCACCTTTCCAAAAGTGTCCCTGACTCTTCCATGCCATTCCCTCCCCTCCATTGCATTCATCCTACTCTGAGGTACTCATACCTTCTTTTCTCTCTTCCAGTCTCTGTCTGGATGGTGCCCTGGCTGGTGTCAGCTAAAGGTAATGATGACTGTTGCCCTTACTGAGATATCTCTTTGGGAACCAAGGGTATCTATGAATTGGATTCTTCTCTTCTCACGCTCCAGTAATTAGAAGCCCAGGGCAGGGATATTTATAGGACCTCTCTGGACAAGACCTTCCTAAGTTGCTGAGGTCACTTCTTAGTTGTCAATTGTGGCAGAAATCATTCCAATCAAGTAGCCATTGCCAGTCTGTTGGTGAAATGAGCTGGAAGGTCTCCACCATTATCCCGACAGAGGCACTGTGGCTGAGAAAGACAGAGTCCAAGGAAGAGCAGGTTGGGGTCCCTTTCTGGGGAGTTGAGTAGGGCAGGAGGGTGTTTTTCCAGCTCTAGATTCATAAATTTGGGGCTTCTCAGCTCAGCCCATAGCAGCAGTGTGTTTGAAACCATTTTAGGAACTTGTATAGTCACTGTGGAAACCTGACTTACTACATAATTACTCCTCTTCCCCTTCTACCCCACATCTGTCAAGGATTTCTACTTCTCTTTTCTCTTTTAACCTTTCCTAGAGAATGGAAGTGAGGGCATCTCACAGAAGCCAAGCTATATGTATCACTGTGAGGCTGCCCTGAAGTCTCCTGAAGGAGAACTGATGATCTCCCCAAAGTTAGGTAGCTTCTGACACCTTAATACCCCTTGTGTCCTATTGAGGATTTAGAGACTCAGGGCTCTGAATGGTCTCTATGATGTCTCCAATACATGCTCTCACTTCTCCATTTTTCTTGTTATTCTCCTTGAGGTGGTATCCTCTGAGCTACTTCATGGACTTCCTGGGGAAGTTAGGCAGATAAGATGGCTGGGAACCAGATCAACAATAAACTGAATCTACTCTCAATCTGTGACCTCATTCCACCCTTAAAATGTACGTTGGGCAGAGGCAGTGGAAGAGGGTAGGAGTTCTCCTGCCCTGCCAAGAGTGTAAGCAAGTGTATCATCCTCAGTGTCTTCTCTAAGAGCAAGCATGGATGGACTTCCCCTCCTGCCCTACTCATGCTTCCCCCTAGCACAGTGATGATTGGAGTGAACATCCCATTAAGAGGCATCAGGAGACTCACAGTTCTGAGGATGAAGGGCTGTTTCAGATACCATCATTGACTTAGTTATACTAATGTAGCCCCACTCTGCCAAAGAAGAGGTTACATTTCCAAACTCTTCATCCCAACTGGAGTGTCTCAAAAGTTCCTTTTAAGAAACAAAGAGTTGCATTGTGTGTCACCCTCATGATCCTCAAGTTCAGGGCCTTAAATCTGGGTGTATGGTGATGATTCCTTCAGCCTTTCCTGCCTGTAGTCCATATCTGGGAGTTCAGTAAGGGTAGGTATGGGTTTCTTCATTGAGTTCTGAGTCTCCCTTCCTTATGACTTGGTTATGATGGAAATTTTTCTTTCCCAGATTTCACTGAACCCCCATCCCTCTCCCTGCACCCTAAGTATCAGATGTATTTCACTGGTGAGACAGTTGGTCTTACGTGCTCTGCTCCTCCGTCAGTGGGTCGGATTAATGGAATGGAATATTACAGCGATGTCTCCTGGGCCACAACAATAATTGTTTCTTCTGGAAAAAGCTTCACTGTCAATCTGACACTCATGGGGCCACCGCGCACAGGATCTTACACCTGCACATATTCTATATCCGGTATGCAATCCTCACGTAGCAATCCTGTGACCATCCAAGTTACAGGTAAGCTGACTGTTATCTCTCTTTCCTCATAACCTGTACCCTGCCATCCATCCCTCTGTCCATCTGCCCATCTGTCTGTCTGTCTGTCACCCAGAACTTCATAGGGACTCCGCTCCCTTTAGCCACTTTTATGATCCTTCCAAACACTTGCTTATACACAGTTTTTTGTAAGCCTGATTGCATTATTGATGCCATTCTAGATGAGGGCCCATCTTTCCTTGCTGATTATCAGAAACACATCATCTACATAATGTTGTATATGCCATGGGATATTCTCCAGCCATTCAACTCTCAGCAACATTGTTGTCCAGCAGACCATACCAACATGACTGCCAACTAGTCACAACATGGTTGGCAAACATAGCAGTCCACTTAAAAATACCATGCTGATATGCTGTGGCTTCTCACACAACAAAATGGACACTAAACATGGCCAGGCAATAGGGAATAGCATTACCTTTTAACATAACCACCAAACAACTAAAACACTGTTCCCAGAAAAATAACTACCCTGACCTAATAGCATAGTAGTTCAAAACGGCTACTGTATTGGCAACACAGTAGCACAGCCACTCTATTTTCAAGGTCCCATCAGTCTTTCCAGTGACTGCTCAGTTGACAATAATATGACAATTTCATATGGTTGCCCAAAGGCCAAGAACCTGGCCATCCAGCATCTCTCTCCAAATGCCAACTACATGACCTCTAAATGTCCAGAAAAATAACTGACCAAAGAGTCAAGAAAAGATAGTGCCAACCTCTTGTGGTCTTAAGAAGAAGAATTAAATCACTGACTCTCAATAATTACTGCACAAAGAACTCAGGGTCTAAAAAGTGGTAAGAGGCATTGGTTCAAAGTACCATGCTGTGTTTTAAGCATCCTCTCCATGTATCTTCTATACCCTTCCCTGTTAACCTCTCTACTTTTCTGCCCATGCCTTAGATCTACCTCTACAGCCTGAACTGATAGTAAATCCCTCATCTGGTGTGGTGAGCAAAGGAAAACACTTGGTTATTACTTGTATATCTCCTGGAGATGTTGAGGAGAAAAGGTTTTACTTTTACAAGGATGGTGCCAAGATTGTTCCTGGGAATAAAGATTTTGAGTTCAGCCCTGTAGAGCCTGGGAGTGGCTCTAAGAAGAACTCTGTGCTCAGCATCCCATGTGTAAATCCCAACATCATGGGAGAATTCACCTGTGAGTATGAGAAGAAGGTGAGCGGAAGGTGGGTCACATCTCAAAGAAGCCAAGCTGTGAACGTTACAATAGCAGGTGAGGCTGCAATGAGTTCCTGTGTGTCAGGCAACCAGTCCAGCTTGCCTGCTTGCCCACTTGCATGCCTGCGTGCTTGCCTGCCTATCTATCTATCTAGCCTCATACAAAAAAGATTACACACACACACACACACACACACACACACACACACACACGGTAGAATATTCTTATGTTATAAATGTTCTAATGTTATAAATGTTATGTTATAATGTTATTCTTATATATTCATTTAATGTGTTCATAGATTTAACAAACATAAAAGTTGTATAAACATGAATGTTATTCACAGATTGCTTTAGATACATGGTCATCCCAAGTGCTGAATCTGGTAGCTGAATTGTTGAAAATTTGTGGCCACACAGAAAGCACCAGTTTTTTAGTAAAAGGACAGACAAAATGAGGGAAGGGGAAAGCCCTAGGGGCATCCCTGTAGTCAGTTAGCTGTTTGTGATTTGTGCAGGAGGAGAGTAAAGAAAAATGCACAACATATTTCTGTAACAGGATGCTTGATAGGCTGTATACAAGTAAGGTATTATGACAAGTGATGCTTCTCAAAGGCTTAACTAACAATTTCAACACCCTGGGCAGATATGTCCAGAGGTACTAGGACTAGATGTGGAGAGAGAGAGTGGGAAGGCAGTCGTTCCTTGTACCCCGTTCCCTGCCATACCCATGTCCCCTCAATGCTCTGTGCTTGTACCCTCTGGCTCCTAGCCTGCCCCTTCTATGATTTGATAGCAACAATCTCTGGGCTGCCCTTGCCACTTAATACTAGCCTGGAGAGCAGGGAAGGGTCCTACCCCCCAGCCCTGCCCTGCTCTGAGAGAGCGTGGGGGACTGTGCACTGCTCAGCCATGCAGAGCCAATTGGAGCAGGAAAAGGAGAATCCTAAAACACTGCATCTCCCAGATGCCCCAGGAAAAAAAAATATAGCTTACAGGGTGATGGTTGCTGCTGGCCCCCTGCTCTGTATAAACACCTAAGACTGGTGTCCCACTTGCCTTGTCCTAGTTATGCTGCTGGTATTGATCTCCCTTCTCATGCCTGCAGCTCCCATAACACTCTATTGGGATAGGGAATGTATAACTCCATTATGGCCCTACTTTGAGCAGGAGGTCGGATTAGATGTGACCTCCTGAGGTCCCTTCCAGCCCTAATTTTCTATGATCCCATGATTCTGTGTCTTGCTGATGGAACATAACCTTAATCACTGAAATAAATGACTTGGTCAGTTTGGGCTCTCTTCTCTGTCCTGAATGAGGAATAACCCTTATTAGAGGCAACAGGTCTGAGGCATATCTAATGCTTCTGGCAGGAGGGGATAATATGGATATATCCACACAGTAGATTATATTCCCCCCCTACAGGAGGCGGTAGGTACATATACATGCACATGCACACACACATGTGCTTGCACACACACACACACACACACTGATAAGATCATGTGGTACAATGACAAGAAATGATGTAGGATGTACTATTCTCAACCCATATCAGATGACTACTAGGGCTGTGCGAAGCTTCAGTCCCTGATTCAATTTGGCGGAGATTCAGCTTGATTTGGTGGCCAAATCTCTGAATCTGAATCAAATCAGAGGACCCTTTTATCTCTCTGAATCAAATCGGAACCCTCCGAATCGATTCGGAGAGATTTGGAAAGATTTGGTGATTCGGATATAAACACAGCTTTAAATAATTTTTCTACATACCTCTAGGTGGCAGGTGGCTCATGAATGCAGCAATGCTGGGGTGCAGGCAGTGTCCCACAGAAGCATGGGGGGCTCCCCAACGCACTCAGCAGCAGACCCAGAAGTGGACCAGAAGCGCTTCCAGCCCACTTCTGGGTCTGCCAGAGTGTGCACAGGGGGCCCCCACGCCCCCACAGCTCAGTGACTGGTGCTTCCTTGAGGGGCACCTGGGGTCCCTCCGTGGCCGATCACCCAGCTGGGGGGGCACGGGAGGGGCCCTTGCATGCTCCCTGGCAGACCCAGGATTGGGCCAGAAGTACTTCTGGTCCACTTCCAGGTTCGCTGCCAAGCACACAGTGACTTGGGAGGGAGCGGGGGCCTGCACTCCTGCAGGACACTCCATCTGCCCCAGCATCTCGGTGTTCACGAGTGGTATGTACCTCCAGGTATGTAGAAAAAACATTTAAAGCTGTGTCTATGTCCAAATCGCTGATTCTTTGAATCAGCATCGAATCTTCAGATTTGGATTCAGCCTCAATTAATCGAATCGCTGTCCCCGATTCAGGCCGAATCCAAATCCGAATTGAATAGGGCCTGCTTCACACACCCTTAATAGCTACCTATTTTTCCCTTCTTGAAAACCTCTGAAGAGGGAGACCATATGATAAAATGACAAGTCACAATGCCTCACAACTTCCTTGGGCAGCGTCTTCCATTGTCCTATGAGTCTTACACTTAGAAAGGTTTCCCTGAACTTGAATCTAACTGCTTTGCTGCTTTGCTGCTTTGCTGCATCATGTCCTGTTCTCTGTGGTAGGATGTCTTTATGACTCTCTGTCACATATTTGATAGTGGTTATTGTACTCCCCCTTAATGCCCTTTTTTCATACTAAATGCACCCAGTTCATCTTTGTCTTTTGCCTTTGGATCTTCTCTAGTTTATCTGCTTCTTTCTTAAAAGTGTTACATGAAGAACACATAATACTCCAGCTGATGCCTAACCAGCACTGATAGACCAACCCTAACACTTCCCAAACCGTGCGTGTAAAACTTCTGTTAACATAACCTAAAAATATACTTGCTTGTTTTGCAATATCATCATGCTACTGGTTTATGCTGAGTTTAGGGAAACCTACAGCTTAGTCAGTAACTATTTGTGCATTTGGATTTTCTACCCTAAGTATGCAAAACTCTAGTTTTGTGTTTAATTTTTGTCTCAGACCAACATGGCTATCAAATACATCCCTTCCCTAAGTATAATACCCCACAATTTTTTTTGTTGAATTTAGCATGTTGGTTTATGTCTCAATTCTCTGGCTTAGTGAAACCCTTTCCTAATCCCCCCAAAGTGTCTACAGTCCCTCACAGTTTTGCATCATCTGCAAACGAGACCAGTAAGCTGTCTTTCCTATATCCTTCCTTTTGTCCTCTGTCCCCATGCACGTACCCAAAACAATTCTCATCTCTTTCAGCAAGGGGAAGCAGTCACTCACTCTAGCTATGGACAAATACACTTCATAGAAAGGGGAGGGAAAACTGCAGCTGGGGCAGTCATATGAGCCTTTCCGGTGTACTTTTGCAAGGCAACACAAGTTCAATCCCTGTCATTTGCACTTTGAATGAAATAAATGATAATTGCAACAGTTTTGCTGAATTTGTATAGTTATAGTAGCATATAGATGAAGCAGGTGCACTCTTACAGCTTTTATTGGTATCATTTGATATTGGTATGATGTTTACATCTTTCTGTTTCAGTGATTCTCAACCAGGGCATCACAACTTCCTTTTGAAGGTGCTGAGGGATGCTGAATAATATTAGCAGTGTTAGGTGTGCAAAGACCTACATATGATTCACAAGATAAACCCAGAGATTTCAAATAGGAATCCATAATGTCCAAAACAGTCTGACCTGTTGTAGTCTTCCTGAGTTCTTTACAACAGAAGAGTTATTCTATTATCTTTCTGTAATACAACAAACAAGTGAAAGCTAAGAACTTGCACTTTCCAAGGGGTGCCTTGAGTCTAAAAATGTTGAGAACCACTCTTTTATACCTTGCCCTTGCCTACCCATCCCCATGCTCCTGTCCCAACTCACACAAACATACATAAAACAAATCTTAATATCTCCAGCAGAAGGAAGCAGTCACACACACATATGCAGAGACAGACAGGGCAGGGGATCATATTTCTCATTTTTTTAAACTTTTGCAGAATTCAGATGCACCTTGACCAGGCTACTTGCTGTGGGTGGGTCCTTCTTCGCTATTAATGGTCTCATCTTCCTGATTGCCTGTATCTGCATGAAACATGGAGGTAACTGGCTCCTTCCTTATATTTTGCCATCTTGAGATAGCTCAGACAAAAAAGAAAGTTGCTGAAGTTCTCCAAATAAGAATCACCAGGAGGAAGTGGCCGTTTTTGTCTAAAATGCCACCTTTTCTGGGGTAAGGCAACTAGCGAAGCTCTAGTGCCACTTTGGGATGGCTTATCCACAGATGAGATGCAGCCAAATCTGGGTGGAGCTCTGTAGCAGCTTTAAGTTCATTGTCAATCATTTCAGGAGAGAGAAGAGTAGGTTGCTAAATCCTATTGACGCTACAAGGACGGACAGATTCAGAGAGATGGAATGAAATGAATAATGTAGGGCCATAGCATGATGCAGGGTTCCTGGAACAGACTTCTTAGGAAGGTATTTGGCAGCAGAAGCATCAATGAAAATGGTAAGGGGAACAATCAACCCATGTACATATCAATTAAAGACCAGCATGTCCAGCATAACTATTCATGGGAGACTGTCCCTAAAGAGTCACCCATCCTGCACTTACAGCACAGCTAACCCTAGTGCTACCCCAGTCCATTAGGCTCAGCACTGGCTATGATAGGAGAGCATCCCCAGCTGCTACCTGCAGCGCAGAACCCTGTCATCTCCACCTGGGACACTGTGGTCTGCTCTGGATAGGAGGGAGAACACCCCTATTGTACCACCCAGCTCCTCTCTTTGCCAAAGTGTCTCTAGTGGAATTCTAGGGTATCATTTTTCTGCAACAATTGGGAGGTAAAAAAGCAGGGGTGTCAAAATCAATGGGCCTTGTGGGCCAAATGAATAATGTGGGCAGGAAGAAACCAAGCATCCCAGGCACTTGGCTACCACCATGGGAACAAGCTGGTGTTGGGCTTGTTCTTGCAGTGCTGCTGTGGCTTCAATCGTTCTCAGCAGGGACTTGGTTGCTGTTACCGAAAGATCCCCCATTGCAGCCAGGGTCAGAGCAAAGTTTGCAGGCTGGATGACCCAGCTCTCTAGGCTCAATCTGGCCCATGGACGATATGTTTGACATCCCTGCCCTACACAGACACCCTACATCCTGGCAACACAGCACCCCGTAGTGGTATTCTGGAGCATTGGTTTTCAGCAGTGAATACGAAAGCACCCTCTTCAGCGCACCCTCTTCTACCCCATACCACAGCACCTCCTTGTAACATTCTGGGGCCTTGAATTTCTGCAGGGAAAAGTGTCAGCCAGCTGCCCACTGCATCACAGCACCCGGGAGTCTGAACTTCAGCATTGTGACTGCCAAGGCAGAGTACTCCCCACCCTGTTTCCTGCAACACCATGCCCTTTAGTGATGCAGAGTCCTCAGGGGGTGCATCTACAAGAGACATTTACTGTGCAGTAGACTAATTAGCTGCACAGTAAACATGTCGGTGTGCCCTATTAGATTGAAGGAAAGTAATTTACTCAGCAGCAGGATAGTACTTGTAGATACAAGTACTATCCTGCTGTGGAGTAAAAAACGTTGTAGCAGCGCATGTGTAGATGCTGCCCTGAGTGTCTGGGGCATGAGGATGCTTCAATGCATGGGCTAGCCCTGTGCTGAAGCACCCTCATGCTGCAGCCAGCCCTTCCTCAGCATGTTGAGATGCAGGGAGCAGCTCCAGGCTGGAAGGCTGACCCCTGAGCCCCCTGCCAGTTAGGGCTGCTCTGACCTGGCTCAATGTGTTGTGATCCTAGGCACATGTTCAAATGCCAATAAACTCCACTGTTTATTGTGCTGGAGCTTATTGCTCCCAGGCACGTGGTATGAACATGCGCCTGGGAGCAATAAACTCTGGAGCAATAAACATCGATAAACAATGGACATCTTGCTGGGATCCTTTGACCCTAACTGACTTTCTGCCGCTGGGGCAGGGGGCTGGACCCGATCTTCCGAGGTCCCTTCCAGCCCTAATGTCTATGAAATCTATGAAACTCAGGAGTTTATTGTTTCATATTCATTTCATGCGTAGATACATCCAGGGAACTGTAGCCCAGTTTTCCGTATTTGCTACAAAGGGTCTTCCACCCAAACACACTCCAACCGTAACACATCTTAATCACAGATATGACAGGTATAACATTTTCTTTTTATTCACAGATTCCCAAGAGAATGCCAAGAATGACATGCAGACAAAGCAAAAGTCCTTAGCCTCGTTCTCTCATAAAAAGTCAAGCACAAAGTCTTCCAGGATTTTTGATACTCCTAGATATGTGCTTCAATTTCAGCCAGTGTCATACAAGCATAATGAATATGAGTAAAACGTCTGATGCCAGAAATCCATAATGTAAATGGTCTTTCCTTAATCAAAGATCAACAAGGCCCTTGGCCAGTTCTCCATCCCAATAGTATTGCAGCAAGTAAATACTTGAAATGTTACCGGAAAAGCAAAATGTTTTTGCATCAACTTAATCTTCAACAAAACCAGAAACATCCAGAGCAGTCTGTTTGCAATGAGCAAGCAAAAAAAAAAAACCCCAAAAAACCAAAAAAAAAAAACTAGAAAGGAAAGGGAAGTTTATTTCTATTCTCATTATCTCAACAGAACATCATTTGCAATACGCATTCAAAATTATGTGAAAATGTGTACGTTCCCTCTTTCTAGTCTATGATTAAACCCTTATTCTCTTTGTCTCCCTGTCTCCATTTCTTCACTGGGTTTATTCCATCCACGACAGAATGTGTGTCATTGACCCCACACTGCTGACAGAGAGGGAAGGCACTCCTTCAAACTTCAATGGATTAAGCTTTCACCCATTCAGCTGGACCACTTTGGTCATCTGGATGAAAACCCAGAGAGAATGGGGTACTCCACAGAAAACGACACTTGTCAGTGCAGCTGTATTCTTATAACATCTGTTATTTCAGTGAGTCAGAAGATCAGTGACGCTTTCACTGTTTATTTTGCATTTTAGCAAAAAAAAAAAAAAAAAGGATTCAGGGCCATCTAAACATTTTGTGAATTCACATTGATTTTATCAACTTGCTAGTGTCTGGGGAGGGGGAACCCTTAAATAAATTAAAGTAATGAGAACTAATTCATTTTTGGAATAAAAGAGTTGAGGGTTTATTTGTTTAAAATTATAATTTTCATTCTAATAGATCCTTTTGTGCCATTTAAAAAAAAATTGTAGAAGTGGCTCCAAATCAAATCAAAATGAATTTTTAACAACACTGATCCCTTTCTATCCCCTCAAAGTTTTAGTACTGAAATTCTCTGACATTTCAGAAACAATTCCTTTTTATCAGGCACAAAACTATGTATCTTTTTCATTGGCCAGGATTTCTGAAAACGTGGCATTTCTATCTGCAACCATATTCCACACTTTACTTCTTAATTTTTCTTTTTTCTTTTCTTTTTTTTCCTCCACTGCTTCTTTTCTGTGGAGATAATTTTCCCAGCCTTTCAAAATTAACAGGAAAAGCAAATCAAAAGGCACATCTACCTTCTAACACAAGCCAATCATGAGACTCCGGTAGGCTTAGGGGGTGCTTGTACATGGGAATCCAACTGAACTTGAAATTTCACTGCAGAGTATTGTAGCACACTACTTCTAGCAGCCATCTGATGCAGCCCTTTGGCTAGCCTTGCTGCCCTCTTTTTGGATCCTGTTTCCTGCTTTTTACCCCTCAACGTGCTGGCCACAGCACAGACTCCCCAAAAGATCAAGGCCCCATTTTTTTAGATGCTGCATGGGAGACTGGTGCCTCCTGAATCTGGGGGGGCACCCACAGAAGCTGGCAGCAGTGTCGGCAGCGGGGACAGGGCTGGCGAGCACCCTCAGAAGCCAGCAGCAGTGGCAGTGACGGAGAACGACCCTGCCCAGTTGCCTATGTGCTGCACAGACATTAACCAACATCAGGACCGTGCTCCTTGCTGAGTTCTCCATTGACATCAGGATGTGGCCTCCTTTCAAAAAATGTAAATAGATTAGGGAGCAAGATCGTTTAGCCATCTCTGAGGTGAGGAAACTAAAGCCCAGAGTCAGTGACTCACCCACATTCGTGCAAGCAGTAGGAGCTGAACTCAAATTGCTAGAACCTGGGTCGTGCCTCTTCATCACAAAATGTTGCTCTTGCAGCTTTAACAGGCTATTTTTATCTCCACAGAGTATCTCTCAGTGACAAGCCAGTCTGGCTGATCATTTGTAAATGATTTGGGGCTGATAGGCAGGGAGAGGCAGGGAGGTAGAGGAAGTGGTGGATAAGTGAGTGTCTTAGTTATCATAGTGCCTGGCTCTGTTTTCTCCAGCTTGACTTCACCCTCTGTGTAACTGTAACAAGTAGGATGTTTCCTTCATAGGCAGAGCAAGGCCTGGATGGGGTACCCCAAACTACCTGAGGGCACAAACAGGCACCTTGCCTGTGAGTGCATGTGGCAGGGCACTGTGGGTGCCTACCACTTTAAGGGCCTGGAGCTGGCAGCCACCAGGTGCCTGACGAGGGCAGCCATTTTGGAGGCAAGGGCTGCCTATATAAACAGGGCAGG